TATTATGGGCCAAAATGTATTTTATTGTTCTTGTAACAGGCAAGACATTTTCCAAGTGGATGAATGCGGCTGGAGCGATATTCCAGATCTAAATCTGGGCTCGTAAAATTACGATCTCCCCATAATCGTGAAGCTATCACTTTAACAGTCTTCTCCAAAAAAATTGTGAAATTGTTACATATTAATTATCAAAACAACAGCCACCAACCCCGACTTAACCGGAAATTTCAAGTAACTCCGTTGTACCACAGGGTACACATTTGGTTCCCTTTTGTACATATACATCATATATCATTTCCATGTATGTATGTATTATTGCAAGTATATTTATGCAAAGACATATTTTTAACGTGTATGGCTTATGGATTTCCTTAGAAATAGTATGCCACTGTGTGTTTTGGCACTAGGACTGACGTTGCTGTTGCTGACATCGGTTTTTATGATGCCAGCGGAGTAGGAGGCGTTGGCCATGGTACTGCTATCGACTGGGTAGCCAATAACGTCGCCAAAGTCGCGTCATTGCCGCAGTCACAGCCACAAGTCGTCGGCGTTGGCCGCCACCAGCGTTGTTTTCCTCATTTTTGCCGCGTTCGCGGTCGCCGTCGCCGTCATCGCCACCGCCACCTTTTCCAAAGCTGCCTAAAGTCTTGACAAACACTGCAGTGTGCTCCTCCATTGCTGCTCTTTGTCTGTAGATTTATTATTTTTGCTCGTTGTTTTTTGTTTTTATGTTCTTTCGCTTATTTTGCGTAATTTTTCACTTGGACTTTTTTCTTTAGCTTTGAACGTACAACGTATGGAAGTATGTGCCTGTATGTCGGGACTGCCTGATTCTTTTTTAATTGTTTTTGTGTTGTTTCTTTTTTTTTTTTAATTCGCCTTTTGTTGGGGCGTTGCGTGCCATTGCGATGTTCCTAGTTGCGACTATTGTATCGTTTTGGTTTATTTTCAATATTTTTATTTTAGTTTTTAATTTGTGTATGTAAGTAGTTTCCTTGTACGGGGTACCTACTAAGTTAATGCATTCGGGGTGATGCTTCTTTAGTGAATTTTCTAGTGACAATACATTCGTAGAAATATTATCTTTTGTTTTGAATGCATGTCTCTTTTAATTTTGTGTGCATTTTAACTATATGCCTTATATAATAATGCGCTTTTGTATCCGAGTGCCTGTTTTGAATTTTTGTTTTATTATGCAGGTTATTTTTTGGCAGCAGCTCAATATCATAATAAATACATATCTACATATAAACATGTCCATACTTGTCTAGTATTTAGATATGTCCATAGGTACAAATATGACCACAAAATACATATTTTACACCGGCTGACTGACCATATGGGCACGTGTGTCAAGTTAGCACTACACTTTTCGAAATCGGAAAAGTTAACTACGGCATTAATTGTAGTGTTTTTGTTGTAAATTTGTTGTAGAAAGAAAAAATTTGTAGCTCTCGTTTTTTAAGAAAAAATGGTATGTAGTGCTAACTTGACACCATACACCTAGTCGATAGAATTGAGATATTGAAATTGTTATAACGGCATTAATTGTAGCTTTTAGCTTTAAAATTTGTTGTG